TTGTTTGTGAGTTTCGATTTTTTTATATGACTAAATTATAGGCACGCACGACTACGAAGCCAAAGACAACATCTCCTTTCTGTTGTATTTTTACAGTTTCATGACAAGAAATAAAAATTTATGAGCTCTTACATGGAGCTACACACCTGGGCGTGTGTCTTCAAGGACCACAGTAGGTATTGACGGTTAATATTAGTCTATACATATGTTTTAACTTGACGAATATTATGGAACTTTACAAACCACTGATGTATGTCTTATCCAGAAATTATATTGTGTATGCCCCTCACAGGGAATCACCTTGATGCCGGTGAGGGGCTCTTGATTCGAGGAACTTGATTTATCTTTTCCTCCTTGGATCGAACCTTGTGACCCGACGATATAGGAACACTATATAGCCCCTGAGGGTTTAGTGCTTTCTCCGATTAAAATAAAAATCATGTGCATAGTTTGTGTGAAATCATGTGCATAATTTGTGTGAGTGAGGTTGCTGGATCAGTCCTCGGTACTTATATCCCCCCCCCCCACGGATATAGTGGGAAATATCATTTCATATTTTATATATCGTGTAGTGTAGTTTAAGATCACACATTTTGAGTTCTGTGCTTTTTTAATTTATTTTTGGCATAGTTATGTTAAAACAATACCAGTTTGTGACTGAATCAGTGTCAATGCAACAGTTGCAGTTATAGTGACGACTGCAAGAGTAGGTTGAGCTAGAAAGACGGAGCCAGGAGGGAGGTGCTCAGAAACCGAGAGTAACTTTTACTAGGAAAAATGTAGCAAGGGGGAGAACATGGTGAAAGTGAGAGTATATGGGCGTGCACCTCCATCCATCACAGTTAGCCACGGGACACTAACGCAAGCAACAACGCAAGAAAATACTGTACTCTTATCTTTTAATATGCTCTATTAATCCTCCTTGGAGGGAACTACATGAAATTTTGACAAACACGTGTTCTCTCTCTCGCAGTAACGACGAGAATGAGTTGATTATATATTCCTGGACTGCTACAGGAAGGCCTTCGACATGATACCTCATCCACCAACTTGAGGAAGAGGTGCCTAAATGGATCAAGTAACATCTGCAGAACAGCAGCCGTAAGAAAGTATTAGAATGGGCTAGGGTGACGAGGAGGGTCCCTCAAGACTCGGTACTTGAACCCACATTGTTTTTCATTTATGTAAATGACCTGCCTGAAGGGATTAATCTCTTCTATTTTAAATCTTGCCTAAAGATAACGATAAAGAAAACAAAGGATAAACTACAAGAAAAATAAAGTGCAAGCATGATTGAACACATGACCACTAGCATTCTATCACAAATGCAAAGTTATAAAAAATGGAGAGAGGAAAAGAAGACCTGTGCCGGGAAAGGAAGTAACCTCAAATATCGAAGGAAAATAACTAGGGGTGAATATCACAGGTAATATCTGGTTGATGGTGTACACTAGCTGGATTATATTGGTAGCACATCCAAGGTTGACAAACCAAAAGAACTTTTAAGAGCCTAAACAAAGAACTTTTAATGCACATACGACGTAAACTAGACCCACCTTAAAGAGTATGGCGAACCTATAAAGCCTTCACGTAGTCTAGCACGTACAGATCTCGAGAAAATGCAGATTCACAAAGAGGCTAGTTCCAAATTCGAGAATGATGTTCTGAGTGAATAACAGCAATAACCGTAATGATTGGAGAGGAGAAAACAGCCAGAGAAGACATGATTACTATGTAAGATACTCAAAGGCGTTGACAAGGGTGGATAGCGAGACCGGCTTTACACGAGACAAGTGGGCATAAAGAACCATAGATGGAATCTAAAAACGCTGATGAGTCACATGGATGCTACTTCAGTCTTAAGGTGGTAAAAACGGAGTAATCTACAAGGTGATGTGGCAGAAACAAATTTTAGGCGAGTTTTAAGCGTATATATAATAAGGACCAAGAGACTAGAATTCACTCCGGTTGATTGTGAGTACACACAAGACAAAACCGCATTACTAACAAACTCACAAAGGTTCAGTGGGCGCACACACACACACCACCCCTCTCTGAGCATGCATCAGTAATTATCCTTGTCTTGCCTTGAGATGAGGAGCAGCCCTGGTGTTGACTTGCTTAAGGAACCACGCGCCGCTACACACCAGCACACGCCATCCGCTACACAACTCTTAAAACGATGACGAAGGTTGATAGTGAAGAGAAAGTGTTAGGGTGGAGAGGGGAAGATGATCAGGATCTTGAGGGACAAGAGAAATGATGAAGGGCATGAAGGATATGCTGAGGGATATGAAAGGGATGGTGGGGTGTGCAAATGACGTTAAAGATGTTGAGGGGTGTGAAAGGGATGTTGAGGGGTGGTATGAGAGGGCAGTGATCAAAGAGGGTAGCCCTGCCTGTCCTGCAGCTTTTACCTGGGAAATTTGGGTTAAAAGTTAGTGTTACCATCGACTTCTCTGTAAACTTTGAGGAGCAATGTATTTTTAAAAGTGAGTCAAGAGTGCTTATGGAGGAGAGACTGCTTTTCATGTAGAATAAATTAATAATTTGATGGAATCAGTGTGGCACTGACTGCCAAGCGGTTAGTGGTAGTGAAGCGACACACATTAGCATAAAAAATGGGAGAGAGATAAATGTTATCAGTAATGAAAAACGGGTTACAGTAAAGGATGACGTGGTTGAAGAGCTGGGATGATAAACGAAAATTGCTTTGCTGATCTCTAGGACGAATGTACAGTGGATGGCGAGAAAATAATAATCTTTTATTTCTACAAGTGGATGTACAAGGTATATAGGCCTAGTTGATATCAATGACATACTACTATATAGAAAGCCCCTTATGCAGAGCATTTCAGGCAAATTAGGTCAATTTTGTCCCCAGAATGCTACCCACACCAGCCGACTAACACCTAGGTACCTATTTTATCTATAGGTGAACATGGACAGCAAGTGCCTTAAGGAAACACGTTCTAATGTTGCCACCCCGTACTGGAGATCGATCCCCGGACCTCAGTGTATGTGCTGAGTGCGCTAGCAATCTAGCTACAACTAAGGGTAAGGATCAACCCATTATCAGAGACTCTCGAATCAGATACATGGTCAAAGTATTGTGCAACAGGGAGAGGAAGCAGAGGGTGTGTTTCCCCAGCTCTGGTATTAATGATGTAGTTGGCAAGTTAGGTATCATGGCAGGTAATGGGAACCCCATTATATGAATCATTGCTGGAGAAAATGAAGTCAGGAGATACAGGAAAGAAGATTTGTTCCTGAAGCACAAAATAGCTATTGATTTAGTTAGGTCAGTGAGGAGGCTCCAGATATTGGCTTTTTTTTTACAAGAAAAGGGATGAATCGTGAGTGAATGTGTAGGCCAGTTGGTGTAAATTATCTAGCCAAGCACTGCAAAAAAAAAAAAAAAAAGCACTGACTTCATTCTCTCTGGTTAGATTTTTTTTAGATTTTGCCACCGAAGTGGCTAGTTTATTGTGCACTCCATATCCATCCTGTGGACGGTAGCGCGCTCTCTGGGAAGGCAGTATTACGGGAAATATAATTGAGGCGTTCAGACACTTGTGCAACATATGAGAATCTTCATTAAAGAAACGTTTTGCCACATATTGGCTTCATCAGTCCAATACAAATCAGAAGGGTGTAAGGAGAAGACGAGTTTGAGGTAATCAGTCCCTCAGCCTGGAGTCGATGTGTTCAGTCCATCAGTCTTGTAGAAAGTACAGCCTAGGGCCGTAGAAGTGGCTTATATACTGTAATCAGGTGAGGCGAAGCAGGAGGAGGCGGGGTCATAGTGGTACCATCCACTAGTCGAAGTAGGTCTTCGTCCAAAGGTTGGACAAGTTTTGAAGAATTATTTGTATCAAGATCCCATGATGCTGCAGTGTCTGACGGATGTGATGAAGCCACAGTGTGGCGAAACGTTTCTTCAGAAATATTCCCATATGTTGCATAAGTGTCTCAATTCTTCAACTAGTCAGTTTTCAAAACCATTCATCACATAATTGAAGCGTACAAGTGGGGGAAATAATAAATAAAGGAGGTATAAATATGCTGAAAATATCTGAACAGGATTGGACTCGAAGAGACGGACATAAGCTGAATAAATTTAGGTTTAAAGAGAGTATAGGAAAACGTTATGTTGGCACCATAGTTAATTATAAGAACACTCCCACATAACGTCATTGAAGTGTTCTCCATTATGTTCTGTTCTAAAGGGGGGGGGTGATATTTAAGGAAGCGGGGAAACGTAGAAAGATGTTTAAGAAGATGGGGAAAAAAGGTGGGTAGAGAATTGTGGGAGGTAAAGGGTAAATATGGTAGATGAAGGGCAAAATATGGAGACGAGAGGTGGAAGATCAGAAATTGAGGGTTAACGTATATATTGAGACAAGATGAGCGTGAGAAGTGCGGAGATAACGTTTTTAATGATCACATCACAGCAGGGTCACGTGGGATGTCATTATCTGGCTGGTATTTACCAGACCAGATATACAATATCGATTTATATTTTCCCTTGTAAATATGTAATGCGTGGAATGTAATAATCCACTACTACTCATTTCCAGGTCTTGTCTCCTTTCTGTTGTCTACATCTTTTTACTCCTCTCCTGTACTATATAATACAGGGTGTCTGGTAAGGCTGGAACCATAAGGGAAAATAAAACGATAATAATGTTTTTATTCACAGAACGTCATAAGTATCTCCACCTTTTTCTGTCCTTCATTATAGTTCCCCCTTGCCCCCAGCCTCACCACATACTGTACCACTAATCTTGGTATCCTGGCTTCCATCATTATTATTAATTCACGAATACAGACGACATATGCAGTCAGCAAATACTATATTCCTCATCTGCCATTATATAGTTTTTTTCCTCCACTATTATCCCCTTCCAGTATCCATCCGTGTGTACCCACTCACTCAGCTGGTGACGGGTGGGTAGTAACGCAGCTGGTTAATATAAGTTTACATTTCAGGGCTGCGAAAGACGGTTACTTGGAGGTGCTGAAAGAAAGCACCCGCCGAGACTGTAACCAACCTGACGAAGATGGCCTTACTCCCACCCTTTGGGCCGCCTACAAAGGCAACCTGGAGGCCCTCAGGCTCATCGTTGGAAGGGGGTGAGTAAGATCAGGGGTGCTGGAGAAGCTGAATATTACTAAATTCTGGATAGCCTGTTGGCAAGGTTGGTAGAACACTAAGATGGAAAAAATTATATACCAGTCAGCTAATACGTTTTAAGTGCTCTTTTCCTGCGAAAGTGGAACTTGCAAATGTTTTTAATAATACATTCTTCTCGAAACCCCGGGCTGCATATTCTGTATGCTGAGTTAGTTTAATTTAGTTTAATATATTTATTATGCACCCCATACCCATCCTGTGGGCGGTAGTCAAAAGATTACAGAGGTACATAATGGGTCCAGGGACTGGACTCCAAAGTTTTGATAGCTGAGCAAGTTAGAGGTAATGAACTCACAATTACAAAGGTAATGAACTCAATTTACTAAGGTAATGAACTCACAATTTACAAAGGTAATGAACTCCAGGTAGGTCTGGTCACAATCATGACAAGTTACAAAAGTATTTACAAATTACAGAGGTACGTAATGGGTCCAGGGACTGGGCCCCCAAAGTTTTGATAGCTGAACTAGGTACTAAGGTAATGTACTCACAAGTTACAAAGGTAATGAATCCTGTACGAGTGGTTACTTTCGTTTATACATGGCTACAATCATGAACAAATTATAGAGTAATGAGCAATTTACCTGTTACATCCCTCTTTTGGTTCTTGCGTCGTGGTGTGACATGTTATGTTCATTAGTAGCTATCCGGTAAACCTTGACTTCCAGCTGTGTAACTGATTTTCCAAGGTGGTTCTGGCAGATGAGGCGATTTTCACACTGTTAGGTTAGACACCAGACACGCCCGGTGGCGTGTCTGGTGTCTAACCTAACAAAAGTTATTTCTACTCACTATATACGTTTAAAAGTTTGAAGAAGCGATTGCTCGGTTACAAAATAAACTAACAAATTGGACAAGATTTACGAGTATTAGTCTACTAACATTCAGTCAGGAGGTGCAGCCAACTGCTGTTGTTACCAACATAGTGAAGAAGTTGTGCTATACACGTACGTCACGAGAATATTAACACAGTGTGTTGTAAGCTCACAGCACACGATACTTTGTTTTTTATTGTTATCATCATCACCGTATGTGCCAACACGCTTCTCCATGGCTGGGAATATACCCCCATTGGTGAGTATGTTATGTTGCCTTGGAGTGAGAGATCACAAATGTTGGTAGGTACTGGGAGTGAGAGATCACAAATGGTGGTAGGCACTGGGAGTGAGATGTCACATATGGAGTGTCGCCTGGGAGTGTACGAGATTAAGATTTAAATATCGACACAAGCTTAACAGCATTTGCTTATTTGTGGATATAGATTCTCTTGTACATTTAGAAGCAGACATACTGAAGATCATCTGCGAAAAACTTTATTACTTGTGGTAGGTTGATGGCAGCTTTATTACTGGTTGTGGTAGGTTGATAGCAGCTTATTACTGGTTGTGGTAGGTTGATGGCAGCTTATTACTGGTTGTGGTAGGTTGATAGCAGCTTATTACTGGTTGTGGTAGGTTGATGGCAGCTTATTACTGGTTGTGGTAGGTTGATGGCAGCTTATTACTGGTTGTGGTAGGTTGATGGCAGCTTATTACTGGTTGTGGTAGGTTGATGGCAGCTTTATTACTGGTTGTGGTGGGGTGATGGCAGCTTTATCTGCATTGATGTATTTTATGGTGGAACTACAGACGTCAGTAGTGACCTCTCTCTCTCTCTCCTTCCGGACTCAAGCTTATCCACTCCTTTTTCCTTCATTATAATATTTGCCTCTACTTCACAGTACTTGTCCAAATTTGTGTCCATCTTTCTCACTCTTGATCTGTGCTTCACTCCATATGTATGTTCACTAATGTTCGATATATTTATTATGGTCGATCTCTGCTGTTTTGAGACCATAAAATCCATTTTAACACTGGCCAACTTTTCAAGGACGGGGGAGGGTCCCATGATGATATGATAGATCAAAACCATCCCCATTCCTGGATCAAACTCAGGCGCTGTATGGTCCCTACGGTCTTAGCGTTTCCACATGATTAATATAATATTTCAAAAGACTTGGCTACATTTGGGGGGCTCATCATGAATGAAAATTACAAGCCTATATATGTATCAAAATGTAATTTTGGTAAGTTTAGTAAATATGGGTTTTTATTTTTCCTCTGTTTATATTAATGCAACTTTGTGGACACAGGTATGGAGAACACGATTTTGTTGGGGCAACATGCTGAGAGTAGAGCTCTTCTACGTCACATACAATATTACAGTTACATACAATATTACAGCACTGTATGCTTCTGGGAGGAGAGCTGGAAGTTTCATACGTGTTGAATATAATCGTCTGTATGAAGCTCTAATTAGAGCTAAATGTTGTGCCCATAATTGCATATTGTGCATGTTTGAGTTTTGGTCCACACACCTGTGACGGTCACACCCTACATACTAATACAACTTTGTGTGTTTGGTGCTGTTACCGTTTAAAATTACCTGTTTGTAACCTGTGTAAAGTATTGATTTATTAGATTAAGCGGAAAATATTCAATGACGGGAAGTTTATTAATGAAGTGGAATGATGAGAAATGAAATTTAATGGACTGAAATGTAGGAATATAATAAACAAATGATAGTGAGAGGGGTTAATAGTGGTATCGTGGATAAGATAAGATATCCTCTATCAGACTAAATACTGATGAAATACTTGTGCCAGTAAGTGTAACAAGGGTTATGTAGACATGCGTCTTTTTGGGTTGTATGATCTGCTATCATGTTGATTTCGGAGACTTGGAGGAGGAAATAGTATGCGGAGTATCAGATTCTCGACCCACATTTTGAAAATATACTCAAATTCAAGTTAGAGTTCAAAAATTTATTTCTACGTGATACAATGTTTGTACAGAAATGGGTGACACTTGATTATGCATGCAGTAAGCCTATAGTTATACAGAGCTTTTCGGGTAAACTGAATATCTGGATCCCAACTCTGGGAACAGGGTAGCACACATCATATTCAGTTCTGTGTCCTATCTATTTACAAAGTGGATTTTTTGAGTGATTTATAAGTGACATTACAATTCTATATTTTAATTTTTTTATCGTATATTGATCGTATCCTTATAAGTGGCTTATCACGAGATTAATATTATTATGCGTCCCGTACCCATCCTGTGAACGGTGGTCAAAAGATTGCAGAGGCACATAATGGGTCCGAGGACTGGATCTCAAAGTTTTGATAGCTAAACAAGTTAGTGATAATGAACTGTTTACAGAGGGTACGAGAATTACTGTAAATTTCGACTTAAAACTTGTCAACAGATTAACAGGTGTACCAGGGGATGCATGATACTGTACATTAACTAACTAGTGTACTAAGGATATATGATACTGTATGAACACAGTCCACTTCACCAAAGTGTCGCATGATGTAAGTTAGATCCAGGAACAAGACCAACTGCAGGAACCAAGTTTAGTGCAGTAAAAATTGACTATAACTCAAGGGTAGTTATAACATCAGTTTTTCACTGGTCTTATGAGATGCTGAAATTGGGTCCTGAATCAGTCATAGCTGACTTAAGAATTATGCGCCAGTACATACATTTTCTATCCCCCCTTATTAGTAAGTAAGTTTATTCAGGTATACACAAATACAGTTACATAGAATTATCATACATAGCATATGTGTAGAGAACCTAGGATAACCCAAAAAAGTCACACAGAGTGACTTATTTCCATTGGGGTCCTTCCCCACACACACACAGCTGTGACTCCACCCCTGCAACCACGTATAGATGAGTACACATGTGTATGTGTGTAATGAAAGCAGCCTTCTAGTTTATATTATGATTCTGATCCTTGAAACACTGGTAAACTGCTGAGCTGACCGATACATAACTCTAACAGAATTTCGCGTTCATTTATTCTTGACATTAAATATCTGTGTATCATAACCATGAATAGTTTGTCTGTGATAAATATTATAAACACTGAGTATATCAGTAGTTATTTTTTGACAGCATTACCTGTTTTGTTAGGGTGATGAGCTCATGTTGCGAATAGGTATTGTATTCTTTGTTTTTGCGCCAGGTTTTCTAGCAAGAAGTTATAATTCCTTGCTACAAAAACATGTTTAAGGACCTGGAAGAAGCAAGACCTATGTTAACGTAATGCTTCACCTTCATGCATGGCGCGTATGTTACATGCATGACGCATATATTGCAAGCCGTCCTCCACCGTAAATAACAAGGGCGTGATATTCATCTATTTAAGCGAGGACGATGTCTCCCCGGATAATGTGATAGGACCAGCCATCTTGTGGAACGTTGCCGCCCTGAGGTGAACGTTCTCGCCACCACCACCACCATATCCCCTCCTCCAGTGGGTTGATTGCTCGCGTTCTAGGTGAGTGAATGTGCTTGGGGTGGGAGGGAGATCTGCTAGCTGCATGAATGTGCTGTTTGAGTGAACGTTCTTGAAAGATAATATTGAACGTAGATGGCAACATTTGCATCTATTCCTCAGATTATTCCCTCAAGACTACCCTATATGTTATTCCAGGGGGAGCACTAAGCCTGTAAGGTCATACAGTGCCTGGGGTTGAATGGGAGGAATTAAGGTAATTCCGTTCGATCCGAGGAACGGGAGGACAGCTCCAGTGCCTTGGATCAAGAGCTTTCCCCATCAAAGGCCCTCTCCCACCCCACATCCCCGAACTACCTACAGGTCACCTCTTCATTTACCACAGCTCCATGTCTGACTTACGGGTTTAGCGCTTTCCCATGAATATAATACTGTATAATTCTCCTGTATTAGTCAGGTTGTATTTATTTTTATTGTGGAGTTGTTTTTATTGAAGTTTTATTTTTAATAATAAATCCGTAACGTACCACGTTGTTCGCCTGCCCTCTGTCCAGCTGTTCCGTTGAAGTCTCCCAGCTCAGACTGACAAATTTCCTGACCTCATGTGTACTAACCAGCCTGTGTGTTGGTATATAACAGTTTTTATTCT